AAGCAGAGAGCCTAGTTGACCTCCAGCTCCTATCTTGATCTAACTGTGACTGTTTCAGATGAGAAACCGAGGGCATATATTGTCATTTGAGGAACACTAGAAGAGTATGCCTACAACAATTCTTAAACAGATTTGCCCACTCACTGCCACAGAACCTGGCATTTTGCCCCAAGAACTGTGCCTTTGGGTTTCTTCTTTAGCTTCCTCACTTTATATAGCATTTAACAAACTGTTGTTTTTTTTTTTTTTTTTCTTTTGAGATGGAGTCTCGCTCTGTCATGGGATGGAGTGCAAAGGTGCGATCTTGGCTCACTGCAACCTCCGCCTCCCAGGTTCAAGTGATTCTCCTGCCTCAGCCTCCTGAGTAGCTGGGATTACAGGCACCTGCCACTATGCCCAGCTAGTTTTTGTCTTTTCAGTAGAGATGGGGTTTCACTAGGCTAGCCCGGCTGGTCTCGAACTCCTGACTCCAGGTGACCCACTGGCCTTGGACTCCCAAAGTGCTGGGATTACAGGCATGAGCCACTGCGCCTGGCATTAACAAACTCTTTCCCTTGCCTTACAATAACTGTTTCCACCTCAGATCACCCAACCATATGTCTTCTCTCATCTTACTGAATATTGCTGGTGAAATATTTATTCTTCTTAGAATATCTCTTTACTTTCACATGTAAGCAGGAGAAAATTATTCTCGAAAGGAGGGAAAGGGGGACAGTGTAGGGATGTTGAGTATCAATGTTGTTTCAACCTGGTAATGACCAATGGAAGAAGTCATATTCTTATGTGTTGAGACAGCAAAAGACTGAAATCCATTAAGCTTAGGCACTGTCTTTCCTGGAATTCAACTTCTCTCGGAATATAGAAAAACCTCCTGTAGATAACAGCTATACTGAGAGACAGTTATGTAGAGAGGAATGGCCCCCAGATTTTGTAGAGAAATTTCCTGGGTCCAAACCTTGATTCTGCTCATACTGTCTGCATAACCCTTGGAAAGTTGTTAGCTCCCGTATCTTTCATATTTCTTATCTATAAAATACAATTAACCATTGTATTTAACTTACGGGGTTACTGTGATTATTAAATAAGCAAATGCATTGAAAACACTTAGAACAATGTCTTGAACTTAACAAGTACTATGGAAGTCATCATAATTGTTAGTAACACTTTTCAGGGTACCTTGGTTTTTCTCAAATTGCTTTTCTAAAGGAGTTTGCAATTGACCGTAGCACAGCCAAGTCCGTTTGATGAAAGGAGGAAAGGATGGTTTTGACATTGAGAACTGCTCCCCTGCCATGGTGTTCAATCTGGGTGGGTCTTTTCAGGGACTGTTTCTGACATCCTGAGGTCCATGTCGGACACGGTATGGCTCCCTTGGGAGAGCTGAGAGGGAGAAGGGATGCTTAAGAAACTTTTGTCGGAGTCTGTAACCTTCACATAATCTTCTCTCCCATTCTTGTTCCCTTTGGAATGATGTAGAGAGTGTTTCACCTAAGTGGCTGGGGAATGATCCAATGTTGGTGACATTAGGAGTGTTGCAGAAGGAGCTGGCACTCTAGCGACAGACAGACCAAAGTTCAAGGCCTGTCTGTGCCACCTACTGTCTCTGTGACGCTTGATAAATCACTTAAGGTCTCAAGAGTTACAGTTTCTCATTTACAAAATGGACATGCTAAAATGTGCCTACCTCCCGGAGTGGGGGTGCTAATCAAATGTGATAATATGTGTGACAGCAACTTGTAAACTGTAAGAGGTGACATAGATGTGAGTTGTTACTATTAGTGGTTTCTTTAATTTCCCTGCTCTCTACAAGCAGACCTGAATTCTAGCAGCACCTGTATGCTGTCATCACTTGGCTGCTGATTTTATTTAAGGGCTTTACTCATAAGTCTGGGGCCAATAATTGTACACTGGCTTCTCTTGTAGTGAAAGAATGGGTAGATGGTAGATGCCTCTCGCCCAACTGGCTCAGAGCACCAGTGTGGAAAATGTTTTCATAGAACAAGGGGTCCTGACAGTTTTCAGAAGAGATTATTTTCTCTCCTTCAACTTATAAATCGTGCAATATTATAATAGGAAACTTTTTGGGCTGTTATTTGGTGATACTGTTACTCTGATAGTTGATAAAACACTTTCAGACACCAAGAGAATTAAAGGTTGGCCAGGGTGGAAGAATGCTATAAATCAAGATTACCTAAAGGGGATATGAGAGATAAGGGATTAAACAGAATAAAGAAGAAATAAGGAGAAATATCCATGCAGCTTGCGAACATTTATCCACTTTCAGGAGCAGATCTTGAAGGTTATTTTGTGCCGTTGAAGAAGTCACTCTGATGAAAATAATTTTCACTTGTAAATGTATGTAATAAGAGTATGGTTTTCTTAATTTTGTATAGAGGGTCAATGTAGTGACTTTTGGCTACAGTGGATTGAAGTGTTACAAGAAAAAAAGCGAGAGAAAAGAGATGTTACTGCCAGTTGTGAACAGAATCAGGTGGGGTCAGACCTGTGCTCTGCAGGTCACAGAAAATACTTTCAGATACCTCGCCTTTCAGGCCTTGATCATGGACAGAAATAGAGCACAGAAGGTGCTTCTTAGGGAAGTCTTCACTTTTCCAACCTTTTGCCACCAATGAAAAATGGAGCAAATGAGTGGCTGGGTACAGACCCTTGGCACCAAGTGGTTGGAGTAAATGGAACACTGCAGGGACACAGAACCTCACCCGCCACTGAGCATATTACTGGAGAAATACAGTACGAAACCCAGCAGGCTTCTGCAAACAACGCATCCCTTTAAGTTAATTGGTGTTATATAGAAGCTGAAATGCTCCGCTTATTTACAAAGCTACAGATTTATGTAAAGCAAAACCAATTACACTTAATGCCTAAACTATTCCAGGTGCTCAGTGATAATGTTGCTAGGCAGTAGAGAAGAAACTGCTGTGCGAATGCATCCTGTTCTGAATGGAAGCCTGTGTAGTTACTGCAATTTAGCTAATCACGAGTGTCAACGCCAACGTGAGAATTCTAAGCTCTTTTGGTGTTTGCTTTGGGTCAACTTTATAATTCTGTAGATCTTTCATCTCTAAGGACAAGAGAAAGCATAATGAGCACCTTTTTCTATTATGATGTAGGAATTAAGGAGATGAAGGCAAATTTGTGGGGAGTGGGGAGAACGAGATGAAGCAGACCCCTTTTCTAACAGTAGCAGAGACTAGAGCTTCCCACTTGTACTGAGGTGAAGTGTTTAAAGATTTCTTGCTCTTTTGGGTGTTCATTAAACCCAAATTGTAAACTTGGCATTTAACCTTTTGCAGCAAGGAAAGCTTCTAAGGAATATCAGGGGTCTGCCTCACTGTTTTGCTAGGAAACGATTGCTAAACAGAAAGGATTTGAAAAAGTTACAGGGAAAGGATTTATGCCTGTACCAGCAAGTCTTTTCATTTGTCCTCAAACAAAAAATAGTTTGAGTAAGAAAAACACCTGGTGCTTTACAGCTCCTCTTTTGCAATTAAAAATGCATAGCCTACCTAATCAAGTTGAATAAATCTTTTATTCTACAGACCTAAAATATTTTATGTAGACACAAGGGAGGTGCATAATTGTAGAATAATTTGCAGTCAGCTGATAAACTCACCTGTCCTATCCAGCATGAATTGTCCTGGAAAAGCAATGGCTTTTAAACTTTAGGGAGCATGAGAATGATTTAGATGTGCTTATTAAAACCACCAATTCCTGGACCCCAATCTGAAAAAAGGTTTGGGTTAAGGCAGTCTGTGTAGAGGCCCGAAAGATTCACCTGTAGCAAGTTGTCCTCAACCAAATTTTGACAAATACTGCTACAAAGAAACAGACATTAATTTTATTTGATTTTTTAAAATGAGTTTATACATATTTTTGCTTATAAGAGAACAAACTCTTAGAAGATGACTTTCTGAATGCTTCTCAATTGGCAGTGGAGACCAAAAGATGTTATTCATGTAATTCCTTTAAGTAGCTCTATTTGGTTTGGTCACTTCCCCTCCTCTCACTCCTCATTTTATCTTCCTTAATTTCCTCTTTCCTTTAAATTTAACAATTCTGTAACTTACATTTATTTTTCAACTTTTTTAGTGTGTGGACGTTTTCTTTGTTAAGAACATCTATCTTAGTAATACTGCTTTTAAATTCAGAGAAAATTTCTTTAATGAAGTCATATCTTGATAATGTAATATTAAGAGCAAATAGCCGGGCGCGGTGGCTCAAGCCTGTAATCCCAGCACTTTGGGAGGCCGAGGCGGGTGGATCACGAGGTTGAGAGATCGAGACCAACCTGGTCAACATGGTGAAACCCCGTCTCTACTAAAAATACAAAAAATTAGCTGGGCATGGTGGCGTGTGCCTGTAATCCCAGCTACTCAGGAGGCTGAGGCAGGAGAATTGCCTGAACCCAGGAGGCGGAGGTTGTGGTGAGCCGAGATCCTGCCATTGCACTCCAGCCTGGGTAACAAGAGCGAAACTCCACCTCAAAAAAAAAAAAAAAAAAAGAGCAAATATAGCAAAATCATGTATTTGTTTATTATTTACTCAGCTATATATAGTATATGGTCACAATGCTTGGCATATAATAAGCTCTCAATAAGTGTATTGAAAGAGATTGTATTAAAATACTGTCATTTTGCTTCTAATGAATCACTAAAACTCCAAAAAAAGTCATGTGCTTTCAATGACTGAACCATTGTAGAAAGTTGTAAGGTATTACTAGTGTATAGAAAACTCTTTTTTTTGTCATAATCACCTAGACTTTGAAATTATTTTATTAATTCTAATGCATAATGTTAATGCAAAAGCATCACAGTTTACCAAAAAGGTTGTAATTAGTCTTTGTAAGTAAAGTATACAGATGATATTTATAAAATCACCTTCATATATATTGGCTCTTACACTGAAACACATAAAATGCTCAACTGAAGAAGAAAACAATGAATACTGTTCTCATAAGACAGGTAGACTCAAATACAGTTTCACAGGGCTGTCTCCCAAAGATCAATACTTGAAGAAAATTTCTGTATACTGCCATAAAATTTCAGAGACTTTTTGTGGAGGAGAAGTGTTTCTTCAAGATTACTTCCATGGATGTTCTGGGCATTAAAATGATTTAGATTACAATATCTAAAAAAGAAAGAAAGAAAGCTTTTCTTAGGACCAGATGTAGATGAATTGATAAATCATTTGCTTCCATCCTGTGCTTCTCTACCTTTTATGATGGGCTCATAGCTACTGGCGCAACACTGTCGATTATTTAAGAGCGCTGCTCACCAAAACAGTCTTTTTAAAAGGACAAAGGGTTTTCATGACTTAGTAAAGAGTCTCATAAGGACCTTTAGGTGGCGCTTTTTTATAACCTGCTGTGCCATCTTCAGTGCTGATGGAGAGAAGGTGATAAGTCTGAAAGCCTGTTTACTTGACAGATTTCATGGCGGTCGGGACTCATAAGAGATTTACTGGGGATTTGTAAATTCAGCACTGAGACTATGTGGAAGCCGCCATTGTCAAAGAAGGATTCCATGAATATATTTCTAGACTGTGCACTCTACATCCTCAACATCCAGGAAAGCCTGCCTTTCCAGTGTCTTCTAAGTACTAGCACCATATAAGGGGCTAGTACTTAGAATCATCCCATTTTACAGACTGAGAAACTGAAATGTCCAAGAGGTTAACTAACTTGCTTAACGTTCATAGAAATAGTAGTTGGCAGAGTTTGGATTTGGAACCAGAACTTGATTATTCTGAATCCTGGCCTTTTTCCTCTATGGCATATTGCCTCTAAAGACAAATTACTTTCTTAAACACTTTTGTGTAAGTTCCAAAAAAATTGAAACTTCAAATTGCTTTATTAACTGCTTTATTCCCAGTGATTGATACATAGTAGATGTTCAATAAATATTTGGCAAATGAACAAATGAGTATCAGCTATAAGAATAATTTTATCACGTATACACGAGTCTCACAAATAGATGAGGTCAGTCATCTATTTTTGATTTGTGAAGGTTTCAAAAGTTAATTTTACCTTCTTTTCCTTCTCAATACATCACTAAAAATAACTGTAAGAGAATGAATACTGCCTGAACAATTCTGGTCATTTGTCTCTGATTTATGTCACTTTCAAAATTCTTATGGCATAGGCACAAAAGATGACTGAAATATTTGAAAAAACAAGTGCAATATCAGCTTTATAAGGTGTGTTTTACAACACTGGAAGGATGGTGGTGTTAGTTATAAAAACACTCTCTGCCCCCTCCCCCTCAAAACACCTGAAATTTCTTTTTATTTTAGCACCCAATGTGGGATAGGATACATATTTATATGAAGCACTATAGACATATTTACCTAATACTTTTCAGCAAGGAAAATACATTTCATCTACCTACTTTCTTCATCCCTAAACTGGAAAGCCTCGAGGATGACATGTCACCAATGCAGTACTTCAGGTTTGATTGTGGAGGGATTTTTTTTTTTTTTGATTTGGTACCTGTGACAGGTAAGTGTGGCTTTATATGTAAGTATAATTCCTAGCTTTATGCAGCTGGGAATTTGAGATAATGTCCCAGGGGCCCTCACAAGATTGGTTTGGTTCTAGGACTTACCCTAATATTATGCCAGACAAATATGAACTTGGATGTGGAGGTATCTAGGGTGCTAAAACAGACCTCATCCTACCTGTATTTTGGTGAGGATGTTGTTTCATAATTAATCCACTGTCCTCAAGATCTTGAGGACAAGAATAAGTTGAGACTGCCTTGTTTTTGAAAGATTTACCACTGTCACCTGGCTTTGAACAGATACACCTTTGGGTTTGATAAAAATGGGATTATGATTGCATATGTGCTGAGATTAAATAAAATTTGATTTATAAGTAATATGTTTCAATAATGCTGTCCCTGGGCCGTTGGTACTGTTGCCTGTTTCTTTGCATGCCATTGTTCTTGCTTATGTTAATAATAAGCATGCTTATGTTTTTGACAAAAACCATCAGTATAGAAAAAAATCGCGATCATGCGCTCCTCACTGCAGGCAATGGTCTTTCTTTCTCAGATTTCTTACTGTGTCTTGCTTAACTCTTCTGACTTGGCCTGTCCAATCCCAATGGCCAATAGGTCCCCAAGGCAACATGTGCTTTGGCATTGATGTCATTGGTTCTAGCTACTTAATCTCTGGAGGCAAATTTTCCAGGCTCTCCTTTCTTCTGTGTGACATCCATTTTTTTCCTGTGGGGTGCTGGTCAACAGGTGGTAGTGGGTAGAGTTACTTTAACTGAAGGCCATCGTTTTCTCCCAAACGAAGTTAGGAATTGTCGGAGAGCAAGAAGAGGGCTCTTCCACGGCACTTGGGGGCAGCACAGAACAGGAGTATAGAAGTGTGGGCTTCAGGGACAAATTTGGGGTTGAATCCTAGTTATGGGAACTTTGTGAATTTAATTAACTAGCTTTGCAGTTTTGTTTTCTGATTTATAAAGTAGAATGATAAGATCTATATGCCAAGAAGGTGGTGGGGAGTTAAGTGCAGTTGTTGTGTGTGTGTGTATAGCATGCCACCCAAGACACACAGGCTGCTCAACACATGGAAAATTAATTTCTTTTCTTCCTGCTTTGTTTCTTCCTCTCTCTCTCTATTTTCTCCCTAAAAAAGTATGCAGGAGAAGAGAGTGTAGATTGGAGATGGAGATTTGGTAAGAATTAGATTTATTTCTGAATGAACTTTACCTTTTTACTTCATTCCTTCTCATCTTTGGTTCTTCCAATCTCTGGTGTGTTGTCTGTTTTTATTCTTATCTCATCCTCTGCACCCCACACCACTATTTCTCACTTCTTTACTGGAACTGACTTGTTCCACAATCACAGAGAAAGAATCGCAGGTGAATATTTTCATTTGGGCCCTAGATGTTGGTTCCATGTGGACTGGGAATTTGCCTGTTCAACTCTAGTGCCTGAAACAATGCTTAGCCTGTTGGCTGAGTGGGTATGTTAATGAGTCAATCCCTTGGCTAATGGATTCTGGGTCCAGTGCCAGTTCTACCTGAACTCTGTCCATGACTGTGGTCATCTTGGCCACACCTCTGCGTAAGTCTAGGAGAAGAATAAAAAGGAGGAAGAAGAGAGCATAGGCTAGGTATGAGACCACTGTAATTGCTAACACTTTGGAGCATTTACTCATCCTCACAAAAACCTTTTGACACAGTTACTATTCTTATCAGTTCTGTTTTTAAAATGAAGTAACTGAGGTTTAGCAAGGTTAAACAGCTTGCTGAAGTTGTATAGTAGACGAATTGTGGAACTGGACTCAAGTAATTTAACTAAATTACTTCAAGGATCAAACCTTACCATAGGCTACACAGTAAAAATTGAGAGTGCAGGTGTTTGAGAATCACTGGATGAGCAACAGTTATGGGTCTAGAGGCAGTGGATGGACGGGAAGGAGGCCGTGCCTCCAACTTCCATTTTCATTGTGAAATCTATTTTGCTACAATGCTAAGAACATTCCTGTTGGATCTTTCTGTTAAACTTTCTAATTCTCTAATATGATTGTCCATCTAAGAATGAGATCAGCATTTAGAAAAAGTATGCACTGTGAAAGGATCAGTTTGATAATTTATATACTTTAGTGTGTACGAAATATAAAAATTCAGGAAGCCATTAAGGTTTTTAATTTTGTCATCAATTCTGCCTTGCATGAGGTTTGATCCTCTCTTATACTGGACTATAAGCCAATCAGAGCAGAACATTGATGGAATTAAACCTTTATCGACTTACTGACTTTGCATCTTTCTAGTTTATGACACTACCTATCACATAGCTGATGTTCAAAAAGAGATTTGTTAGGTTAATAAAATAATGATCTAGGCAAGGGTGAAGTGACAATGGATGAGATAATATATGACTACATGACTAAAGAGATAAATGGATGGAAGGAAATGAGGAAAATGAAAATCTGTTTAGTTCCTGCTTTGTGACAGACATTGTGCTTAGCGCTTTATCAATATTCGTCCCCCTAAAACCCACAAGAGGTTTTTTATTTTACAGGTGTAAAAACAGAGGCACAGTGATGTTAGAGAATTTTCTCAAAAGTACACAGCTGTACAAGAATATGTCAAGGGGTGAGAGAGAGAGAGAGAGAGAGAGAGAGAGAGAGAGACATGGTCTGACAATGGATTGATGGATAGTAGATGGTACATATTAAGCCACCCTCAGGTGGTCTCAGGTGACAAGCTAGGGGATTTTGTACAGTTTTTTTTTTTAAATTGACCTTGAAATGGTCACTGCTGATTTAAAGGCCTGAATAGGATCCAAATCTCAAGCATCATTAGATTTCTAGCTATTTGTTTAATGATATTTGCTTTTAATGATAATGATTCACTCATTCTTATTATCAATATGGTTATTTCTAATTCTAAAGTGATGCTACGTAGTGGAGAGGAAAATCTTGTGTTAGAACATGTTTTAGAATTTGTAAAGCACTCTTTTATTATGAGGATCGATGGAAAAAGTGAAGTCTAAATTGAAATTTCTTGCTCTGAATAATCTGTTGAATTTCTCTAATATGCTAATTTGTCCAGTCATGGCATACAGAATTCCCGCTGGCTCAGTGGTGGTTCCCAGACCAATATTTCATGGACTCAGAAATTTTTCATCTTACCACACACTTACTCACCTTTGTGAAACACTCCAGAATCCCAGGACGTTCAACAATGTTAATGATGCCAGGAAGAAGAAGAAGCTTTCTAAATTGCCTTTGTTTAATGTGTTTGGAAACCAATTGCCTGTTTGGAACAAATGTAATTGTTATTCAGCTGCAGAGTTGTAAGTTTCTGTGAATATTTTATCATTCCACAATTCATAGAGCTTTATTTGCTTCAGTAATATCCACAAAGCAAAAAAGCTCATTTGAAACTTGTCAAAATTTATTTAATTCTGTAATTAACAGTAAAATGATAAGCAAAGCACCCCAAATATTTTGAAGGTCACAAAACACCCTTAATTTGCATCATGCAATATAGGTGTCAAAAGAACTGGGTTGTAAAGGTAATCCTATTTTACTAATTTGCAGGAGCCATGGGTGCATCTTATTTATCCTTATATTTGTAGTACTCAGAGCAGTGCCTGGCATGTAGGGATTATTTGGCAAATATATAGTGAATGAATGAAAAATATTTTCTGTGATCAAATAGTCTGTTTCATACGCTAATTGTAAGGGTAGTGAGATAATGTATGTAGGTGATAGATGTTAAATTATTTTCACAACTTAGATAAATCCAGGGCTACCTTATCGTAATTTCACATAACCCTGTTGGTCAAATTACTTGCAATCTCTGGCTAACATGGAGATTTTCTTTTGACCTAATAAGTAAATTCTTCAATTTGATACTACCAAATAAAGTATCTGTACTTCATTATGATTTCATACGGGGTATATATGAAACTATTCAGGATTCAAGGTAATTGCTTTAATTTGCTTCTAAGTTTTGACTTTTGCTTTGGATCTGTGCTATAACTCTATATTTCTTTGTCTCTATCTACACACATACTTTTTATTTCTTCAGTGAATTTTGGGGTATCATTTAATACATAAAATACAATGCATTATATAATACATCTTATATATGCCATACTTACTTATAGGCAATACTTTGAAAACAGCAAGGACATCTAGTGTTACCAAATGTATTACAGATACGTAGCACTACAGAATGCTTAAAAGAGAAATATCTAACTTGACAGAGAGAATTTAACTGTAACTCTGAATGAGTTGAATTTTTTAAATGCTATGCATTATGAGAACAGGAAATGATCATCTTTGAACATGAAAATGCCGAGGATTCATCATTTCTTTGCCTTTTTATAGGAACAAGTCCTAGAAGGGGAGGTGAAGAGGGTGTGGGACCAGCGCAATCAGTCTATGAACCAATAGGACTGGGCTTCAGTACCATCTTTGACACATGGATTGTAGGGTTGTTTCCTGCAGTAGAAAGTGGTTTTTGGCGTCTCCCTTGACAACGCACACTCTTAGATGGGATTTAACTTAACTGATCTGATCACAGTCAGCAAGTGCGTAGGTATGGCAACTGTGATTAATTGTGCCGCTTCCCATTTAAAGCTGTTTGTCTTTAGTTTTTTACCTTCTCGGTAACTGTTACTATGGATCAACAATGAAAATTAGCTGTGTCTATTATATTCTTGGACCTATATGTGAAAGCTACCCTAAATAAATTATAGCACAGATAAATACAATGGTAAAGTGGAACTTACAAAATAGGTATTATTTTGTCAGCAGAACTGTGTTGTAAAGGTAATCTTGATTATGCTGTTAATTTTCAGAAGCCGTGTGTATCTTATTTATCCTTTTATTTTTAGTATTTAGAACAATGCCTGACAAATAGGGGTTATTTGGCAAAATAATGCCAATTATGATAGGTATCATAATACTTATCAAAATAAATATTACCATACCTATTTTGTAAGTTCCACTTTACAATTTTATTTGGGTCCTATTATAATGAAAATATATGGTTTTATTGCTATAGTGACATGGTGCCTTTATCTGATGTTTAGATGAGTAAATGAAGTTCACTCACTGTTTTTCTGTAAGTCTGTCTATTGGATATTGTGTAGCCTTTTTGATGTTTATATGTGTGCTTTGTGTGTATGCATGTGTGTGTGTGTGTGTGCATGTGTGTGTGTGCACACAGGAACTAAACATCTGATTATACTTGAATGGGGAGAGTTGAGTTGGAGGTCAAGATACGGTGAGATAATATCCTACTTATTTTCAGGAAGAACTAAACCATCCTTCTAAGCCTATTCAAACAGTGCCATTTTCCCCCTCTTGAATTAATATCACAATCGTATTTCTGTCCTTTCCATTTCACATCAGCACTTTGCATGTCATGCGATTATACCTTTTTATCACCGTGTTTCTCTGGCTAGAGTGAGAGGAGTTTGCATAGAGTATGTGAAACCTCAGAATTAACATGACATTAATTCTTCCTGGAGCATGAATTCTGGTCCATAAGAAGTAATTGAAAAGACTATATTATAACAGAGTCAGATGAAGAGGAAGAATACAAATTTTCTAAGATCTTTAAAGGTAAAACATAATATTTTTAAGAAATTGTGTCATTATGGCAAATACCAGCCTTTTAGGAGATACCACTGGATCTCCCTGGGCACACCAGAGCACTGTCGTCATGGGGGATGCTGTGGAAAACAGAAATGAGAAGTACTGTGACTTGGTATTTGGGGGTTTTGTGTGAAAGGAGAGAAGGACATTTGTAGAAAAGTCAGAGAAAGGTAATATAAATCTTTGGATATGGACAAAACATTTTGTGAGTGGGATTATCTAACAAAAAAAAAAGTCTACTATATTACTCAGAATTTCTACAATGCTCCTTTAGTCATCCTTAAACATCGTTTTTAGCATGTGACTTTCTTTCTAATGCTCATCTTCATTCTAGTCCCATATCTTTTGCCATATTTAGGTATCATTTAACATTCTCCGTATAGCTAATTTACATGGTAAAGAGAAGTGTCGCCTGAATTGATAGCATGGGACAAACACTTGTATCAAGTCAGACAGAAAGGTTCCTCAGGATACTTAAAATGTACTTTATTTGTATGGAGATTATCTATCTATGTGAAGAGACAGAAATAGGTATAAAAAGATATAGAAAGAGCATGGGCTTTGGAGTCAGGCAGACTTTTAAAGTTAAGTCTTGCCTTAACAGTGTGATCGTTGGGCAGATCACTGGACCACTTAAGCCTCAGTTTCTATGAGATGATGACAACAGACTCTCCCTCACTGAGTTGTCATGAGGAGTCAAAGAGATAATGGCTGTCAAGGGCTGGACACAGAGGAGGCAGTCCACAAACCTTAGATTATCGCCTCCTCCTGCCGGCTTTCCAGGTAAGCTCATACATCATCATGCAGCCTGAGCTGGATCTTGGGCCTGTTTCCTGTCAGATATTTCTTCATGCTCTGTGTGCCTTTTTTTTTTTTTTTAATCATTATCCCAGGACCGGTTGTAAAATGTTCCATTTAACATTGTCAGTTGACTCAGCTCTTAGGTACTATAACTTTATTTTAGTAGCTTATAAACTTTTATTGTCATAATTCACATTTGTGCCATTTTTCATCTCACGTTTCCAGTAGCTGATTGAAATCAGGAGCATCCTTGTAAAGGAGACAAAGTGAAGACTTGAGGTCTAGAATGAGACTAACTAAACTTCTCCAGATTGCAGGTTAGCTGAACAGGCTCGTGAAAAACAATGTACCACATAGGGTCTGATGGCCATTCATTCCATGCCATTTGTAATGCCCACAGTGAATCCTAGTTACTACTTTTGTAATAGAACCAGCTAGTTAGTAATAGTGTTTGACTGTTGAAGTAATAGAGGACTCAAAATATTTAACATTGTTTAGAATTCCCCCAAATATCTCTTGCTTAGCTAGATGTATTTGTTCATTAGAAAATCATTTTTTAGAATTTTTTTTGTGTACCAGGAAATGTGCATTCTGTGTTAAGTGCTTAAGAAAAGGAAATCATAAATTAGTAGGGGACAGGCAAAGGGTAATTTTTCTGGAGAATTAGGCCTTGTAGACACTAAATAAAATGTTTCTATTTATCTGAAATTATCACCATCAGTTTAGAGACAAAGGATTGTAAAACCATCTAGACTCATTCTTTATTTTATATATAAAAGAAAGAAGGAACAGAGAGGTCAAGGGAAGCATCACTCAGCAGAACCCTCATCTTCCTGCTGTTATATCAAATGCACTGCTATAGTCCGCTTCTTGGTGTTAAATGCAACTACCACTTTTACGGCTTTAACATCTTCTCAAAAGTTTTGAAATGTCTGGATGTCAGTCTTTGAAACCACTTACCCCAAATTCTTTCTAAAATACCTAAGGACAACATTTCTACTCCGGTCCTGAGACTGGCATTCAACCTACTGTGAGATTCTTTGAGCAATTTACACTGAATTTAAGGCTTTTGAAACTGGATTGAGAAACATCTGTGGTGACACACACATACTATAACACTATCAACTACACAAATTTGCTAATACGAAAGAGAAATATAGCTTATTTTTCCTCTGTCTAGTGCCCTACATTATAAGGCTCAAAATTTCATTTGCTGCCTTGATGCCTTTGAACCTCACAGACCCCAAAGGTCTAACCACATGTTTTCCTGCTTTCATTAGATATGCTCCTCACCCAGAGGGAAGACCTCCCCACCTGACTAGTTCCCTTATTAGCCAGACTATCTACACTCTACAGAAGTCTCAACCTAACAGGTTTCACTTCCCCTGCTAGCTCTCAACATTATTCAAACCAACCAATCACATCCAGTCTACAGGAACCAGGCTGTCATCACAACACTTTGTTACTACAAAGCCTGCCCCCCACAGACCCTGCCTGTTCACTGCATGCCTGAGCACAACCCCATGTGACCCTGCACATATCAGGGTATTTTCCTTTCCCAGGCTGTGAGTGTGTGTGACTAATAAACTGCTGTCAGTCTCATCTGTCTAGTGTTAGATACCTGTTTTCCATAATCTCATACGATTTAGAGTAAGAGGTAACCCCCGGTCACCAATGTGGTAAATAGGAAATGATCAAAAACATGCCCTCACCACAGAAATCAAGGTCAGTTCTAGACAAAATATTAATAGCTTTTGCTTTAATGCATAATTACTGTTTATTTTTCTTTTGGAGGGAGGAGAAATGAAAAAGGAACTCTTCTATACATCCCTCCGTACCACT